GATACCCAGGAAGTGAGTGGTGCATACGTGCCTAATTGCAGGCTGGCCTCACCAGGACTGCCGAGATAAAATGGGCTATTTCATGACCTTATTTTGCAAGTTGAAAATCTATTTCAGTTTGATTGGCTAGGAAAAAAAGAGGATGATTTCATGAACTTAAAATGTAAGATGCAGTATTCGGCTGGAAAACAGAGATATAAGAGTAGCACAGTTAATGGTGCTAAATTGATCCCGACAGACACACCATTTAAAGGCTGTGCTGATGTTTCCCCTTTCAGCACAGCAGGCACTCCCAACAGAAGTGATGAGAAGGGTTGAAGAAATAAGCTTGGATGTTCAAAAGATAATCCTTCGGATTTGTAAATAGAAAAGCTATATCAGAGAGAGAAAATATGCAGCATCATTGTTGGGAAAAGATTTAGGCAAAATAGTTGGGGGTATCTGCTATGAAAAAAGTCCTAAAACAGGCAATCTATTCTTCCTTTCTGCCACTTGACAGGAAGATGGGCAAGCAGGGACTCTGCCCTTGGCCCTGCACCTTAGGAGCCTCCGGTACTTTGAAGCACCTTTCTTGAAATTTTCTAAATCCTCCTCTGGTTGTGGGGACCAGTTGTGGCTGGCAGGGCCAGCAGTCAAGGCACCCCAATTCTGTACGAGGACCTGCTCAGGACACCTCGAGCCTGCACCTGCTTGGGTCTGGCCCCCATCTCGCCTCTTTGGAGCACTCTCTGACCCTACTCCATATGGAAGGTCCATCACATGCCCCAGGAACTCTGGGGCTCATATCCACCAGGTTGTTCTGGACCATGGTGGCCAGGCTTGTTTCCAACAGGGTGGCTGATGAGTAGATTGCCCCTGCTGGCTGGCATGGCATTTCATTTATGGAATCCCATGAGATTGGCCACCAGAATGTTGCTAATATGCTCATGTCAAGTGACTCAAACTGTTTAGATGGACAGAGCCCCCGCCAAAAAAAATATTTGCTCAGAGCCACAACCCCTAAGGAAAGCCCTGGTGAGAGGGGAGGGTGAACATCTGAATTAAAGTTAAATCATCAAGTTAGAATAGAAAGCAATCCAAAACATTTTTTGAAGAGAAAAGAAACATCCTTGCATGTATACATATCTATGCATATATATATGATCGCTTTTTTTGTCTTGATCTCCTGTTAAAATCTGATTTATATGCCACAAATTTGGTTTCCAGGGACATAATATCTTTTAAATTCTTTTTAAAATGTCTTACCAAACATTCATTTCCCAGGAACAAGGTTTTCTGGGGAAGAAGAGATTGTCTGAGAAACTCTGATTTAAACAAACAGGGGTTTTGTTGCAGCCTTGAACATGCTGACATGAATTATGAAAAAGCAAAAGGGGATGCAGCCCCTCCAAGCCTCATATGACCAAGGACCCCTTTTTCCAAGCATCTTATGGGAATAGATGGAAAATGCTGTTTTAAAAGAATAATGCAGAAAAACACACACACATGCACACACACCCATACACACAGGATATCTATTTAAGTGCTTGGGAGGGAAAGATAGAGAAGGATGAGTTCATCCTTTGCCAGGTCCATTTTTGTAAACAGAAAAGCAAGATCAGCTCTTTGATCTTGACATTCAGGCATCTCCCTGTAAGCAGGTAAGGATATCTCCCAGAGAAGAGTCTGCAATGTATTTAAGGTTTGGGCCATTAGAGGGCTCTGTAGGCCTGATGGATTTCTGTTTCCAATCCCAGGACACACTCAAGAGAATTATCGCTATGATGAGGCTTGGTGTATGAGACACACAAATCCACCAGAGATGAGGAACATTTCAATCACCACATTTTGAGCTTCTGGGTGGGATTAATACAAATGCTTTTCTTCCCCATAAAGCATATGATAAAAATAGCAAACTAGGGACATAAACCTATCTGTTCAACATAGAATGACCCATTAAATATTTTTTAAATATTAAAATAAAATTTAAATGGACCATCTATAGTATTACAATATATGTATCTGGGAGAAGCCTTTTCAGATACATCACAGCTTTCTAGCTTTCAATATTCTGCTTCCTTGCAGCTAGCATTTCATTTTCTCCTGGCATTTCTATTTATTCTTTTTCATCATTTCTCTGTGCATGTCCAAAAACATTATCGTCCATATGAGACAATCCATTCATTTACATGATATATCTTGACATACAATCTTATCAACACATCTACTATTATAAGCACACATGTATGTGTGTGAGTCCAACAGCCCTAAATATGGAACATTTTAAGTTACACTATTTTTCAATGGAGCAGTTATAAATGGTCAGTCATGACACACACTTGACTCAGCCGGATATTTCCCTGGAAGAAATCTGTTAATTCACTGTGGTACTTTGTTCATGGCCACAAATTTGTACCACGTGGAAATCCTGATTGTCTAACGTGGTCCCAAGAGCGGCGGCATCAACATCACCTGGGAGCTTGTTAGAAAAGCAGATTCTTGGCCCCCATCCCAGATCTGCTGAATCAGAGACTCTGCTAGTTGGGACCCAAAAGGCTGAAGTAACACAAAATGGGTCTATCGGTATCTACAGAGAGAATCGTCAAGACGCTTCAGGAAAAGGCAGCATCTGTAATCTGTAAATAAAACTAGATTACCTCGTCCAGTAAGCAAGAATGTAGACTGAAATATTAATCCTTGCTTCATTCCCTCTCTTTACATCATGACATGAGACTAACAGCCATTGAGTCAATGGAAATGCTTCAAGTCACACACTGTGGTCCACCGGCTAGCGCTATATTGCTTCTCAGATTCAGCGAAAATGACAGAAAACCCCTTCTGCCTCCTCCCCAGATTAAAAGAAAACAACATAAATGAAGCTGAACCCCAAAATGCACCCCCATAATGTCTCTGGTAGTCAGTTCTTGGAAAATCGCATGGCAGACTAATGGACATGACACACAGCCAGTAAGTTTCAAAAGGTACTGGTGGAGAGGTGCTTTTCCTTCCCTTCCAACAGCCTTGGAGTCGTGCATAGAGACTAGCCAAGCTGGGGCAAGCAGCTCTACCAGCTGACGGCGTCCCTGCAGCAGCCACAGCTGGAGACGGTTCTGTTTTGAAAGGTGCTTCTTCTCCCTCTCCCCCGACTCGACTTTTCCCATAACTCTCACTCAACAACACCAGCAAAAGTTAATGCTTCCAGAAGTACTTAGGAGCCTCTTCTGGCATTTGTAATTTTTAAAAGTGCTTTCATTCTTTTTTTTTCCCCAACCATGAAGGACCCTTATGTGAGCCAGCAAGCTGCAAATAAAGAAACATTTTAAAAGAAAGAACACTTTTGAACCCCATTTTTATTTCAGAACTAGTCTGTGTCACGTTTTCTCTACTTCAGTTGCCTCAACTGCTAAATGGAAATGTCCTCAGCTAAGTACACAAGGCTTCTAGGTGACCACATGCTCTATTTGTGATGGAATTGAGAGGATGTTCTTGGAGGGTCCAGGTGAAAGCAACTTGCGTAAGGGTATTATCGCCACACCACACCCTCGCTTTGAAGACTGATGCAGCAAAAAAGAGAATGAAGCCGAGCTGTTAGCAAATACAAAGGGACAGCACAACTTGGAAATGAAAACCGTTCAAGTTTGGTGCTAGGCAACTGGTGGATGCTGGGTAAGATCATTTGGCTCTAAGACAGCTATCCCTGGCGGCATCTGTGTATCCACAGACATAATCTGTCCATGCACTGATAACCATGCAATTCCCCCTCCTCAAATGAGCTGCTAAATCACATTTCAAGCCCTAGCTAGCTCATCAAATTCAGCATCTCATACAAACAACAGGAGAAAAACAATCGCTAAAAGTATTGTACCTGTTGATAAATGTTCTTGAAAGGGATGACAAATGATGATTTGCCACTGCACTGCTCCCGAGTTTTCATTTTCTGAGCTCCCTGTTATTAGTACATTATTTCTGTTATCATCAATAGGATGTGACTCTAATTGGGATGTTGTACATAGTGTTGTTATCGATGTGCTCCATAATTACAGTATCGTGTTCGCACCTCTTGCAAAATGTAATTATTTCCGACCCTGAGAACACTGGGAGGAAATGATATTGGCATGGCTTCTCTGGGGACTTTCACTTTAAAACAAAGAGATGGCTTCAATGGCATTAGGAGCAGATCTGGAAGTCAAGACTATTCTTGAGGCAATGAGACAGCCAAGCCACTAGCAGGGACAGTCTGCAGTCCCACAGGGTAGCTGTCAGTGGAGCACACACACCCAGGGGACTTTGAAAGCAGGAGGAATGCTGACATTTCCATTTGCCAAATCATGTAAATGGACTAGACCCTGCTAAAAGTCAAAGATTTAAAAATATGCACCTCTTTTAATTTCATTTTCCTATCCTCTACTAGGAATCAATATGAAAGAAATAATGAAGGCACAAACATGAATTAATATGTATTGAGGTTCACTGACATGCTGGTGAAATAACAGAAAAATGGGAAGCAAGCTGTGGCCACAATCAGGGTTTGGTACATCCATCTGATAGAATACTCCGGCTAAACATTTTTTTTGAAAAGACAGTTTTATGACATGAAAAAATACTCAATAAAATTCAATAGAAAAGTCAAGAATACACAGCAATACAATGTGCATTCTGTGGTGCAAAATCGATAGATACCTAGAAAAAAAATAACTAAAAAAAAATAAACCCAAGGGCATTAGTGGCTGTGTCAGAGTGGTCTGATTTAAGGGATCATTAAAATTCTTCATTTTGCACTTTTCAGTATTTGCCCAATTTTCTAAAATAAGCATGTACTACTCTTAATAATTAAAAAAACGAGTATTTTCAAATATTGTACATCTCCTATTTGAGAATGCTTTAGACATACCAAGCAAACCCGAATGACAACTGAAATTCTATTGTTGGCTCTAACGCCTGCCAGTTTCTTTAGTGCTGACCTCTGACTGTCCTCCACCACGGTACCTTCGTGGACATCCCAATGTGTCCCAAGCACTCACCTGGGAAGGTGTCGTCACACTGATTTCTGGAACAAAGTTGTCCTCAAAGAAACTGATGATGTTCTCCTGCTGCAGTTCCTTTGTTGGGGTGACTTTAGGCAGAGGTGGAACAGGAGGCCCTTTCCTTGTCTATAAAACATTAAACACAAACAAACGGTAGTTAATTCAGCCAAAGATGATGCTAAGAGGTGCAGGAATGTCATGTGAACAGAGCTAGGCAGACAGATCGACCACTGATTGAAAGTTAGATCTGCCTGTAGAAATAAGCCTACGTCTGACTCAGGCAGAGAATGCCGTTTACCTGGGTGGCTCTCTGAGCGCTGACAAGCAATGGTGCAATGAGAAAAATTCAGGCTATGAGGCTCCATTCATCTCCACACAAGTGCTACCTCTATACAGGGCTGCAGGGCCAGGTCCCTGTGTCTCTAAAGTTAAACTAAAGCAATATCTTCTCTAAAGTAAACTGAAAATGATTTCTCACCTCAGCAATAGATTAGAATTTTAAAACTAAAATCAAGCAAGCTTTTCCCTGGAATCAGTGAGATCACCTATAGGCAGCATACATTTCACTTTCCACTCTAGTATTCCGAAAAGTTAAGAACTTTAGAGATCTATTACATATATCTTCTTATGACGTTCCTTAGTTTCAGCCATACCCATGAAAGCTTGAACAAGACTGGAGACTTCAAGTTTTCTACAAGAATTTCATTTTCACCCAAAGATAAGGGTGGCAATTTTTCTCTATATTTACCTTTCCCAGCTCTTACTGTTTCTATCATTTGTTCCATACACTTTTGTTGAGTGTCTACTCATGTGCAATATACTGTGGCTGATACAAAAAATGTGAAGTGACATACAGACATAACAGGTTTTCTCGGCCATACTTGCCCGAGCGTTACCTAAGGTGCTCCAGGGGGGAGGTTTCATGGGGAAGGTAGGATTAAACGGGGCCTTGAAGGAAAGGATTCTGAAAGCAAGAGATGGGAGAAGAGGATATCATACGAGGCTGAGGAAGCTGAGATTGTGGAGAGAAGTCTCAACACACTCAAGCAGAGGGTGTGTGAGGAAATATAAAAATCCAGATAAGAAAAATAAGTGGAGTCCTTAGTGACAATGACAACGCCTAAAGCCTCATACCTCAAAGTCTCCCCAACTGGAAAACTCCCTCAGCACCACAGGATTATCCCAGATGGGGTCATCTCATCACAAGTTCTTCCATTCCCCCCAACATATTTGATCTCTGTCTACCTGCGAAGGTGACCTGGGCCTTGCTGGTACAGGAGACGTGGGTGCCAGTGTATGATTGGGGCTAGCTGTCGGGCTCGGGATGGGCGAAGGCTCCTCAGGCGGCGATGGCGTCTTCGCGATGCGGAGAGGACCGGAATCGCTAGATGAACGCATGAGAGCAAAAAAGGGGCCTTCTCAGGAACAGTACTTATTTATCAGGGGTATTCATGCCAGAGAAATCTTGAGGCATAATAGGCCCTGTTTATCATCTATTCCCACTTCCAGGTTATTCTGGTTATTAACAGTGATGGTGATAATTGGTACCATTTATTGTCCACTATACACCAGACCCCGTTCATATTTTATCTCTAATCATCACAGCACCCATGCATTATTGCCCCCACTTTACAAGTAAGTAAAGCAGGGCACAGAGAAGTTAAAAACCCCCTGAAGTCACTCAGTAATTTAGCAGATCTTAATTCAGACCTTAGTAAGGCAAACCCCCTGTTCTTTCCACCATGCCAAATTGGATCTGCAAGAATCTTCCAAATATAAGCTCAATTAATTGAACTAATCTCACTCCTAATTTACAAAAGCATCTTGCTGTCATAATCTACAAAAAAAAAAAAAAAAAACCTACCCTGAAAATTATAAATTTTATGTTAAAAGGCATCCTTAGGATGGTGTTAGTTAAGATTTTGTAGGAGTGCTTTCTGAAAACATTTGGAAATCAATTTATTAATTGTTTCTCTTTCTACACCTTATAGAATAATGATGCAACTCAGACACCTTGAAACATGCAAACAAATTACGTGATGGAAGAGAAGCAGTAATGTTTACTGAGAACCCACCACGGTCCCAGCACCGGGCCAGATGCTTGTGAACAGGCCAAGCGCAATGACTAAGAGGACATCTGAACACATTCTACTCTCTAAGAATTTCTAAAGTCTAACGATCAAGGGAACAGGGTGCGTACCCCAAAATAAACGAGCACATACACCACGGCACAGTCTACATATTCAAGGGGCCGAGGGAATGGGTCTTGTGGAGAGAACACGGACGTGCGCATGAGTGGGGCTGTGCCAGCAATCATGGCCTCCATCGGGAGCACAGCCCCAGTCAATCTTAATAAGATTCCACTGAGCTCACTCACCCCCTTGCGCTGCAGAGGAATGTTGAAAAAAATGAAAGAACATTTGTTAAGTGGCCATGGCCCCATTTTTATCTTCATTTTATCTGATTTGGCAACACTGAAATTTCCAGGTGCATTTGTCCCCTTCTCTCTATCAGAGAGCAATCCGTATTTTTTTCATGCACTTCATTTCTAAAGCACCCAAATGTCATTTTGATGTTCTTATTACAATTATTTCTTTGTTCTTAGCCCTATACTGAAATAATTATATTGGAAACAACAGCTCTAACCCTTTCATGTATTCTTTTAGGCAATGGTCTTTCCCTTAGAAAGAGAAGATACAGTTAATGCTCACTTAGTAGAGTAGCCGAAGCACAGACTATGAGTACAGCTAATCCAAAGAGCACGGACTAAGAAACTCAGCTATCTCCAGCAAGATCCAAACACTAACATATGGAGATGGTGGTGCCTGTGCAGCAGCGTGTGTATTTTTACAAATGCATGTGTATGAGTGTATACATTGATATTAAGATCGCAAATGTAGAACGTTAGGATTGCACATTACCTTAGAAGTTGTTTAGTTCAATAGCGTCTTTTTTTACCCTATTGATTAAAACAAATGAGATCTTTAACCAGAGACGTTATTGGACTTCCTCAAGGAAGGCACAGCAAGTGAACTGCAGTGTCATAAACCTGAAAGCTGCGTCTTCTGACTCCCAGCACAAGGCTCACTAGCCTGCATTCCTTGAGTACATAATGCCTGAGAAGGATGGAACAAAAGGGATTCCACAAGCACAGGAGAAAGCTGGTGTGAAGCCAAACCCTGGCAAGGTAGACAATTCACCTACGGATCACCGGGCCTTTGGTGTACTCAACCGGCATGCTCAAAATAACAACGTGCAATAAAACCAAAACAACGCAGAGTTCACCAGGTCGAGCTGGGAGGTGACATGGTTGTGAGGTCTCACCTACTTGCTCTTTCCTTTCCCAAAATGGATTCATTAAAGATGCCAGCACCAATGAGAAGTATCAGGACTGTCATGAGTTTGGGGGATTTCTTTCTTCTCCAAGGAAAGTAACAAGAATACAACTAGAAATTATATGTTAAAAATTTACACCATTGCTGTCAGGTCCCATGGAAAGCAGAGAGGCAGATAGTCAATTCCATTGTGTCAGTGACAAAAGCCCACACTGGGTAAATCTGAAAACTAAAGGTAAATGTGAAAGCACAGAACTAAGGCTGGAGTCAGCCTCCAGAGGGGAAGGCTCCTTAGTCTTAGATTTTATAGGATGAGTAAAATAGTACAGGCTGGGACAGACTGCAGACAGTGCAACAAGCATGGTGTTTAAGGTGTACGGACATGGACTTGGCTCTGATGAGCATGGCCTACCTGGGAGCTCCTTGAATGGTGAAGGCCTTGTCAGCGTGCTGGTCGCCCAGTTTCGTCATCACTTCATACAGTTTGTGGCAAAGCTAAAGGGACAGAGGCCACTTGTCTATTAATGGCAAGTCATTCTGGTGCCAATTCAGGCTATTGCCCCAAAGAAGGAATTCTTTATTGAAAAGCTAAGAATCTTATGATGGTATCAATGGTGTCAGAATAATTTAAATTCTATGTGGTCCAACTTAAAATTCACATCAAAACTGAAAGACCACAAACACAAATAAACTAAAAAAAATCAAAATATATTTATTAACCAGAGTATAGAATAGAAAACAAAAACATTATTTATGTTTACTCTACTAGAGATAAAGTCACACGACCACCCTGCTGAACTAAGAAAATACTAGTTGATGACAGAGCTGCTGATGATCTGAATATTTGGAGACCAAATTTCCCTCAGCCTAAGGTATCACTTGAAACTCCAACTTTAAAAACTGACTGAAGAAAAAAACAACTCTGACAAGATAAAAAGAATTTCAGAAGAGAAATAAAAGCAGGTAGTGATTCCTGAGAGTATTTTTGTATACCCACAAACTAAAATCTTTAGAAAATATAGAAAACTATGTGGTCACTACAAAAAAACTGTAGAACTATTACTGAGAGTCATAACACACTATTAAAAGAAACACGCAAGAGAGTGAATTCTTTGCATAACGCTATGCCATTTCATTTGCTGCCAGAATAAACGTTCATTTACTTTACATTCCATAAGTAAAAATAATCATCATTACTCACCATGGCAATTTCCTTATGAAACTTGGCCTCCAGGCTGGAGACATTTTTGAAAGTATTGACATAAAATCCAACTCGTCTGCCATGTGGAGACACAAAGAGCAAAGAAGAGAGGGGAAAGACAGTCAGAAAAACTGTATTTTTAATGGCAATGAACTCTATTAAAAACAGGTTTTCTGGACCGGCCCCGTGGCTTAGCGGTTAAGCGCGCGCGCTCCGCTGCTGGCGGCCCGGGTTTGGATCCCGGGCATGCACCGACGCACCGCTTCTCCGGCCATGCTGAGGCCGCGTCCCACATACAGCAACTGGAAGGATGTGCAGCTATGACGTACAACTATCTACTGGGGCTTTGGGGGAAATAAATAAATTTAAAATCAGGTTTTCTTTATATAATTTTGAATAATATTGGATTAAATAAAGTAATCCAAAGTTTGCCCAACCTTTCCTGATTTGTTAGTGAACAAAAATAACATCTTTCGGCACAGAGCGTGGCCTCTTCTAAAATGTAGTTAATACCATAAGGCAGTGGTCCTCACACTTTAATGTGCATCAGAGTCCCCTGGAGGTTTGTTTGGGATTCAGTAGGTCTGAGGTGGGGACTGAGAATTTGCATTTCTAACACACTCTAGGTGATGCTGAAGCTGCTGTTTCCCAGATAAGACCTTTGGAACCACCGCCCTAAGAATCTGTTTGTATTTTAGATATGTATATGCAAAGGTTCTGAGATAGAGAAGTTTATTATTAATTTTTATAAAATATAAATGGTCTAGTTTCAGTATCATATATTTGATTCTGAAATTTGTTTAACGGAGGGAAATAAAAAAATCACAAATTAATTGCAATTCTTTAGCTAAAGTGAGAACATGCTATCACTAAGCAAACAGAAACATAAGCTGTCCATCCACAATACCTCACACATGTTTGTGAAGCAGTCACCGGGGGTGGTGTTCTGTGACATGAGCAAAGTCCCTCAGTCTTCATTTTTACGTCCCTAAGCACACCAGTCAGAGGCAGATTCCGCCCAGTGCACCCAGTATAAGCTCCCTCTGAATCTAAATGAGGTTTCTTTGGACTCTATATTAACTCAATCCTTCTTGAATCCATCTGAGTAAACTACTACTTTGATTTAATTCATGTTCTTGTTTCAATGACCTCAAAAATAACCCCAGCAATCTCATTGGTTAATTAGATTCCAAATTTCAATCAAGAACCAAGTAAGGACCTAGATACAGAAATGTTAGGTAGGCCTACCATATGGAATAAACATATATTCAGGGAGTTTATAAAACAGGGTATAAGAATGTGCCTGCACACAGTAGGCACCCATCTTATTTAAACAGTGAGCTGAAAGGATAGAAAAAAGGGAGCTTCTTGTGGTTGAGCCGCCCCTTGCAGTGAGTAGGCTTCCAACAAGCAGAGGTGGACGAGTGTTGCATCATCATTAGAGCCAACAGAAAGAGCAGCACTCTCAGCACTTTTATACATTTCCTCACTTAATTCTCATAACTACCCCCGAGGTAGTGATCCTCATTCTATATCCAGGAAAACTGAGGCACAGAGAGATTAACTGTCCCAAGGTCATGCAATTAATAAGTGGAGAACCAGAAGTTGAATCTAAAAGGAGGAAAACGCAATAGAAAAGCATGGAATGTTCGCCAGGAAATTCCGCTTAAGCATGAATATTGTTATTTCAGTGCTACGGAAATCTGTTTTCTCATGAATTAGGTGGTTTGGAATTTTAACAAAATAAAAGCTAGAAGTCCAATATAGAGATTCGGGAGATAAAGTAATAGTTGGGTGCTAAATCCATCCCACCGACAAGACTTACTTTTTCTACGGCTTATCTTGTACCTTAAATTCCTTCCATGTTCCACTAAATCTTAATTTTCTATACCTATCGTGATCATGTGTTCCTGATTTCATATATTTTTTCATTTAATTGATTTAAAATTACATACATAATCATGTACATGTGTGTGTGCATATATACAAAAAAATCCTGGCACAGCCTGTTTGGGAAATGGTAACTAGTTGGGAGGATCAGACTGGAAACCTGGGAGATGAGAGCCTGGTGAGGCTGACCCGTGCTCTGGGGCAGCGGACCTTCCAGATCACGAAGCAGCATTTATTTGCAGGCAATAGTTGTTTGCAGCCCCTCGCCATGTTTGCGACAGAGGAAAGGAGAGGACTTGGACCTGCATTTGAAGAAGCTAACTGAGGCAGCAGCTGGATGGGAGAGAAGAGACTGCAGGAGGCCCGCAATATTGTGCAGAGGGACCCGGCTCATTGTATTGTTTGCAGAGAAGTCTTCCTGGGCGCTTTAAGTGGCAAGCCAGGACCCCTTCTCTAGGATCCCAACAGGACAGTAATTCCTCACACCTTTCCTCATTCAGTTACTCAACAAAGGGCCTACCCAACTGTGGGTACACGCCTACTGGTGGGCTAAGGTGGCTCTGGGAACTAATGCGGTTAGAGGAACACCAGAGGGGCTGATCAATGAACACATGCTCCATTCATTCTGGTAAGAAAGAAGCAGATTTCAAAACAGCATGAGAATGTTAGGTCACTGCAAAAGGCCATACATGATTAAATATCAAAAATGAGTAGATATGGACAGAAACAGCTAAAGGAACCGAGAGGAGCAATGGGCCCTGTGCCAGCTGCAAACATCTGCTTGAGAGGACAAACCTAGGCGACCCTGAAGAACGGGTCAGATTTAAATAGGAAATGGGTGCAGATGGGGGCAGTGGGCGGTGAAGTTGAAGTTGACTGGTGGGTATTGTTTTATTTTCACTGATTTTTCACTATGATAAACAAAACCCCGATGAAGATCTATGAATTAAAACTTTGTGCACAGCTTTACCATTTCCTTAGAGTAAGTTTCTTGAGTGTAAACGCTGTGCAAAAGGCAGAGACAACCAAAGTTTTGATGGGCCCTGCCAAAGGGCTCCCCCGCTAGCTAGGCCTTTGCATTCTCTCAGCTTTGAATATGACTTTACACAAACCTCTGTAAATTTGCTAGGCAAGAGTTAGCATCTTGCTGACTTTTACATTTATATTCCGTTGATTAAAGTTGAGTTAACACTTTTTTGTTCAAGTATTTGTTGCCATTTGTATTTCTCCTTTTGTGAGTCACCTAGTCATGTGTTTTGCTTATTTCTTAGTGCTTGTTTTTTTCTTATTATCTGTAAGGGATTTTCTATTAAACATATTGAACCTTGGATACATTTGGCAAAAACAAGAATCCTCATTCTTCCAACTTTAAATTTTGTTTTCTGACATACAGCCTATCTTAACTCGTTTATATCAATTATTATTTAGAGAAATAATTGGTGCAGAGCCAGAAAGAAATACCTTATTTAGAATGACTAAACAAACATCTATAATTTTCTAATATTTTTATGGTTTCTTTTCATAATTTTGAAATTAAAACTAGGATGTATTTAATTTAGAAAAAAGTGGTCAACATTTTTGATGCAACTTATCAGATAATGATTTTCTCCAATTTTTGAAACCGAAGGCTCTTTCAAAGTAGACTGCCTGTGACTAGTGCACTCGGCAGGCCCAGCACCTAATGCAGCACCTGGTCAGAGCAGGCAGGCAGTAAATATTCCATGAAGGAAGGAATGAATGAATGAATGAACAATCGAACAAGCCAATGAATGAACCACTGTGACACTCGTTCCACTGGAAGGGCATATTCTGACTGTAACCCTGGCTTGTAAAAAACTAGTGTCACCAGCAATGAAATATGCATCCACAAAGACTACCAGGCTCTGAATACTGAAATTATCTGCTTGCGAGGTTTCATTTCACAAATTCTTCATAAACAAGGGACTCTGAGACATTACCATTTCCCCAAAGGACTTCTCTGAGGCACCCTCAGGCCCCTTCTGGTTAACTGTCAAGACCAACTTAATTTCTTTATTAAGACATTTCTTTATTCTTGGAAACAGTGGGAAGGATTAACAGCTGAGCTTATGACAGCCATAGTGTGCAGGCCAGGACACTCTCCCCTCTGCACTGCCCTAAGGGAACCCTGCCTCCCGGGGTGGGGTGCGGGGCAGAGGAGGGGGCCGTCACTGCTTCCCTTGAGCCCCCTGCAATGGAAGAAGCATCCTCTGAGATCCCTGACTTACCATTGGGGTGGAGTGGGAGAAAGAATAGTTTTCTTCAGCTCTCCTCTGATCCTCTGAGATTTATGCCACACATATTCAACCTCTTCATAGCTCTTCTATCAACCTCCCAGCACCCCCACCCCAACCCCATTCACTGCCCCCAAGCACACATGTCTTGTGGCTTCCCTCTCTCTCCTTCACCAAGTCCCAACACTAATACAGCAGACTCGACATCCATGTGACTATCCAACTAAAATACAAACTCCTAACTCACTGCATATCCTGGATCTTGCCATCACTCACAAGTGAAATGAGAAAATTCAGGGGCCCACTCACCTAATTTCCTGGGCCACAAGATCCTTCCTTCATTCAGTTCCATTCCACCTGCTGACTTTTTTCTTAATCTCTCTGAGATCACTCCCCTTTTCTTCCAGGCCATTGTCCCTCTCAGATTCAACATCTTGCTTTACCAAGCTTGGGCCCCGTGGCATACCCCTCAACACCCTGGCCGACTCTGTCACACCCTCAGCCCTTGTCCTATCCCCTACTCACCCCAAATACTCTCAGTCCTAAATCACCCCACCTTTGCCACTGCCATCTTCTCAAAATGATGAAAGTTATTTTTAAAAAGCTCCCTTGCCCTGTCATCCACCTATATCTGCTGCCATGATTCCTCACACATCATAGTCACAATCTTCAAAATGACGGACAATCTACTGTTTCTGCTTCTTCATCTCCCATGCAGCCTCCAATGCCTGTAATCAGGCTTCTGACCCCCCATCGACTGGAACCTCTCTGGAAGTTCACCGAGGGCAATGCATCTTTAGTCCTCAGCTACTTGACCTCTCTATTGTGATGGCGCTCCTGGCACCCCCTCACTTGTGAAGTTCTTTCTAGTCTTGGCTCTTTGAGATACTGCTCTTCCACGTCTCTTCCAGGTCTCCTTCTACATCTCTGACTA